AGTGCCGAGTTTCATACTGCATCCAGCAATGTACAAAATAACGTATATCTGTCTCTTGGTTTGAGTCAGGTAGGTACGCGGGGGCCCAGTGTGTCTGAGTTTTCCTTTCCGTGGTGATTAACACCTTCTGTTATTAGCCAGGTCGAGTCATTTTGTATCAGAGAAGATCCTAAGGGTAAGCCCTGTACTGCTTACTGCAGCTCAGCCTTCACAGAGTGCTGCTGATGTATTACGTGTCTCCCCTTTGTCATTTTAGTTCTGCTCTTGTTTTTAGCTTTTGTTTCTGTTTTCCTGAGAAAACAGTTTGAGATTTCATACGGACGTTTCCTGGCACTCAAAGATCCGCTCACTGGGGTATAAAAGTCTATCACAATATCCAATGGATAAAGGGAAGAATGATCAGCCTTGGACAGAGATAAGGTAAGCTTGCGACTTTTTGCTCATATAACATTCTCTTTTCTTCTCATCACCTATTTTTTCTTTCACTTTTTCTCTGGGCCCTGTTCACTAAATGCAAATGTATGCTGCCAGCAATGGTCATGTTTCCTGATTGCACGCTCATGCATAATTTTGCCTGCTTACCTACTTATACATCCTCTTGTTTGCTTGCTTGCTTTTGCATCTTCTTCCTTGCTTGCTCATGCATCCCAGTGCATGCGTCGGGTGTTGGTCTCTGGGATCTCTTCCTCACTTGTTTATACATCTTTTTGCTTACTTACCTACTCTTACATCTTCATGCTTGCTAACTTTCTTATGCATCTTCTTCCTTGTTCGCTTGCATATTCTTGTTTGCTCCTTTGCTCATGCATCCCTGTTCATGCTTTGATTGTTGGTCTCTGGGATCTCCTTCTCATTCATCTTTTTGCTTGCTTTCCTGCTCTTGCATCTTCTTGTTTGTGCCCTTATTCATGCATGTTCTTGTTTGCTTACTTTCTCATGAATCTACTTGTTTGCTTACCTGCTCATACATCTTCCTTGCTCGCTTGTTCTTGCATCTTCTTTTTTTGCCAGCTTGGTTATGCATCCCTGTACATGCCTTGAGTGTTGGTTTCTGGGACCTCTTGCTCATTTGTTCATGTGTCTTTTTGCTTGCTTACTTGTTCTTGCGTCTTCCTTCTTGATTGCATGCATCTCCTTGACTGCTCACTTGCTCATATATCTTCTTGATTGCTCACTTGCTCATACAACTTCTTGCTTGCTCACTTGCTCATACATTTTCTTGATTGCTCACTTGCTCATACAACTTCTTGCTTGCTCACATGCTCATACATTTTATTGCTTGCTCATTTGCTCATGAATCTTCTTGATTGCTCACATGCTTATTCAGCTTCTTGCTTGCTCACTTGCTCATACATTTTCTTACTTGCTCACTTACTCATGCATCTTCTCCTTTGCTTGTTTGCTTTTGCATCCCCTTGCTTGTTTGCTTGCTCGTGCATCCCTGTTCATACATAGGGTGTTGATCTCTGGGACCTAACTTACTGTGGATGATGAACTAAATGGTACACTTACAAGCAACAACAACAAAAAAACAATGTTGCAAATGTAAGTGATCATGCTTGAAGCCTTCTCCATCATTTAAGCAGGATGGATAAGCCATCATATAACCTCCAATGGTGCAAGCAAGTTTGAAATGTACACACACATGCACATTACAGAGCATTGTAGAGCCCATCTGCGCACATGAATTGTAGTGTGGGGGCTATTCAGTATGGCTGGCTGCAAGCTACCCCAAGCATGTATTTATTATAAATGAAAGCTCTGTCTAATGAATGGCTTTATTGTTTTGCAATGGCGTTACAGAGAAATACAGAATGGAAATAGGTTACAAATTTATAAATTAATTACAATTAATACAAATTAATATATTGTGAATGTTTTGGTGGATTAAATAATTTACTAGCTTTCAGGTATGTAAGATCACAACATTAACCAGCATGTGAGCATCATATTGTAACAAAAAACATTTTAAAATGATAACACAACTTATTTTAAAAAAGGATGAAATACAGATATTTTTCATTATTATTTATCATTTCATTTTAATTTTTATTATGAAATGCAGATATTGCAATGACACATGTTGTAATCCTCACTAACTTCAACAAACTAGGGAAAAAAATAAGAAAACAGTTAAATCTTGAAAAAATAATTCACTTGTAAAATCCCTGCTCAGATCAACTACCAGACGAGGGGGTGTACACGCTGAACTAGATTGTTATGACTATAGGATATGCCCGACTAGTGATTTTTTTCTCTTTTATCTATCTATCTATCTATCTATCTATCTATCTATCTATCTATCTATCTATCTTTACACTGAACACAAGTGCCTGTACAGTGTGAATCATACCATTTAAAATCATTATATGCATTTATTGTCCTACTATAACCTCATGCCTGTGTGAATGAGGCCTAAGTTTTATGCACTTGCAATAATACCATTCATGCAGTCAGCCCGATAAACTATTGTGGGTGCCCTGCATATTTCGATGGAAACCTGCTTTTTTGGATGTGTCAAATAATGCTTTAAGTGTTTGAGAAGAAACACATGAGCGGAGCACCAATTATTTGAAAAAAATGCCAAATGTGACTTTTCACTCAAAAGTTTTACAATCTGCTCCAACTCCTCAACATCTTGATAGTCTGTTTACCCGACACTTCGCTATCAATATAAAATTAAGTTTATACCTCATTGGTCAGTTATCTAATCATTCAATAATATCAAAGATTGAAAAATACATCCAATCATAGAGTAGCATTACCTCAGACCATTACATAGGCTCACATAACAGATGCTTACACGAGATAAGGCTGGAAAACCCCTAAAATGACGTTTGCCCCTCCATTAAGTTCTATTATAATTTCTTAAGATGGAGGCTGGCAGCCCCATGTGTAATATACAAGTGGCGTACATTACATTTGTAAATGCTTCAATGTTTTAAATAAAGTGTGTGTGTTATTAATTCTTTCTCTCATTTTTTTACATTCAGCACAAAGACAATATTAGCATGTTGTGAAGATCAGATGCAGACAGAAAACGTTATCTAGGCATTCGGAGGACAAAAAAACAAAATCCTGCTTCGTAAACCGCACAAATAGACGCGTAGGGCGCGCTCTACCACATCTTAGGACGAACTTTAAAAGCTCAGGAAAACTTCATGTAAGTAAGTTCACTGTAGGGAGGAAGTTGGTCTGTATGAGAAAGATAAAGTCAGATATATTAACATGCAGTAAAAATAAATTTTAGACATTATTAAAACATAAAGAGGGTTTTTTTTTTTTTTAGGGAATATAGTAAATCGCAGAGCAAAATGATCACCTTTAACTTTTCTTTTTTTCATGTCCTCCTAAGGCAAACAAACTTTAGTGTAAATTAAAAGACTTGTGAGGGAAGTAAGTTTGGTTTTTTTTATTGCTGAAAAGACATTTCTATTGCACAATGTTTTCTTTACTGAGCACATTCTTTAAAAAAAACTTTAACTACAAAATTGCTGGTAAAAGTACAGATTTTTTTTTTCCCTTTATATTTTTATAAATATAAGTAAAAAATAAAAAAAATATTTTAAATGCTTACTTTCAGCATTTTTTTACTTTTCCTATTTTCTATTTTGTCCTTGGCTTGCATTGTGCCTCTGAGCTTGCTAGCAAATTTTACTACTTTAGGAAAAGTCATTTTCCTAGCACAGCTCCTAAGCTCCTTGCAGGTCATAGCCGTCTCCTCTTCTGGGAGTGTGTAATTACTGTCTGTGCTGGCCAGGCTGCTCCACCCCTCCCCTCACTTCTCTACAAAGAATCTTATGGGAGGGTTGTGGTTACAAAACTTACAGGGTTATGGGAATTGCTAGCACTACATACACACACACACACATATAAAGGTTGAACCTGAATGACCTGTATCTTTATTCAACCTCACCTACTATGTAACTATGAAATGAATGGTCTGATGACAGCGTCTCTTTAAGCCCTCTTTTAGCAAAGCACATTAGGCCACATCCACCTTTTGGGGCAATGCACGCCTTTCTTTACCGCCCAATAAACTGTTTTCCCTAGATTGACAGTTTTGCCAAAGCCCCAATGGACAGTAACTCACCACATGACGTAGACACCTATAAATAGAAGGTCCTATGCGCTCTGCTGTATGATACTTCTCCTCACTCCTCCACAAACTCTTCCTCCTCATTGTATCCAAAAGTGTCAGTCAGCCTCCCCTCTCAGCATATACTCATCACTGTCCACTGTTGCTCACAAATAAAGGAGCTCCAATAGTGTAATACAGCTCCTTCATTTATAGCGCACAGATATTCACATCAGAAAGTGCTATTCCAAGCACCATCCGGAACACTTATTACTCCTTAGATCTGCCTCTCAGACACTGCAGACCGCGTAGACACCCATAGGGTCACCTTGATGAAGTAAATTGCCTCCAAGGACCGACGCATTTCATAGTTAAATACTTTTTCAGCAACTGGAGAGCAACTATAGTAAATCACACAGTTTAATAATGAGCTTTATCCTTTCATTTATCTCGTCCTTTTAAGAAAGTCTAAGGCCCCTTTCACATGGTCCGACCAGGAGGTCATCTGTGAACATTGAGTGGGTCAATGTACTAAGGGAGTACAGAACGTTGACTATGCCAAGCCTATATTCACTGAGCTCACACATCAGTAAAGCTTGATTGTTTTTAGGCAGAATGGTTTATTGTGTAGCACCCTCATTGGGGATGTTTTTTTCAAACCTTGAGATCTTAAACCCTTTCGCTAGGACATGTATCCACATGTGTGCAGTTTACAAGAGACAATGAGATCTGCCAGCTAGGGATGGGCTCGATGTTCGACTCGAACATCGCTAGTTCGTGTGTTCGGCGAACAAGCGAAATGTCACGGCGTTCATGGGGCTGCTCGCCCACTGAACTCCTCCCACAAGGCACCGCTCACACATGTACGGTGGGTGTCCATAGTCACTGTCTGTCAGTAAACCATCTCCTTCCAGGACCCGACATGGAGGACACGGCTTCCCCGTCCGCTCTGTGCGTGCACGCAGATTACACTAAACTCTCAGAGAAGCGCCGGGAGGGGTGGAGATATTCACTGACAGACTGTGAGAGTGGAACAAAGTAGTGCTCAGAGTAAGGCTCAGAGCCTTCCAAGACCTGTCATAATACAGCCAGATCAAATAATTTTACCAGAACACCGGCACTGCCTGTCCTTCCTCCCTTCACTGGGATGGTACCGTCCGGGGCTACCACCTGAGTGCTGCTTTCTTTATATCTTTATCACTTTAATAAAGATTGATGGAGTATGTATCTGTAAAGTATAGAGATTACCAATTATAATTCTCCTCAGGGGTCACTTATCTACATACAGACACGTCAACGTTCACTAATTTATATATACAGGGGGGGCAGAGGTCACTCATCTACATACAGACAGGTATTTTGCTGCCTCATTGTTGTCACCCCTTCTGTGTTGCAGGTGTTCCCAATTTTGTTTTGTTTTTTAACTTTTTTTAAACTTTTTTTTTCAGCAGCAGGTTCTTTTGCTGCCTCTTTGCTGTTCCCCCGTCACAGGTGTTCCCGTTTTTTTTTTTTTCTTTCTTAATTTATTTTTTCATAATAAATTATTGTACAACAGTTTATAGTGCACCAAGCACCACATTCGATAAAGTATTGCACCCAAGCACCAATTTCCCATCTCACATTCTCTATTAAAATTTTATAATAAGCCCCACATCATGTCCGAAAGGCCAACAAGGAGACAGCTGTGTGACAGGTACATGTAATTAGAATTTTTTACAGCAGGGCCCATTCCTGCGCCCATCAAGAGTAAAGGTGCCCATACACCTTCCGACCATCGCAAGACTTTTGTCTAGCGATGGTCGTAAGCTTATTAAAAGCTCGTACGATCTGTCCATCTTGGACAGGCAGATCGTATTTGCGATCATCGAAAGCCCAATGACCGCAATGAGGGGCGGGCTTCTGCTCACTGCAAACGGGCAGTGTGCGCGTGCCCACACCGGCCCGTTCGGCAGTTGTCGAACAAGCAGGACACTAACCCGCCGAGAGTCGTACGATTCTCGGAGGGTTTTCAAGCCTGCTTGTTCGACGGAAGAAACGGTCGTACAGTAGAAACGGTCGCACGCCTTGATTACACTGTACGATTATCGTACGATCGCGGGATTTCCCACGATTCTCGTACGATAATCGTACAGTGTATGGGCACCTTTAAGCTGGCCATACACCTTACAATTTATCTGCAGATTTTCTGTGGTCAGATGGAAAAGGTGCAACAGATTCCTCCATCTACGCTAAGCTGTGTGGATGGAGTAATCTCCACCTGGGCCAATCTGTTGCACTTTTTCCATCTGACCACAGAAAATCTGCAGATAATTGTAAGGTGTGTGGGCACCTTAACTGTGAGGGGCTACAGTGTGGAGCACCAACACCAAAGGCCCATTTTTTTCCACACCTGTGTGACAGGTATATATAATTTGAATTTTTAGAGCAGGGTCCAATCCTGCACTCGTCAAGAATGACTCTGAAGGGTTACGGTGTGAAGGCACCACCAACACTAAAGGACAAATTTTAAAGCACCTGTTGTTACTTTTATCCAACGTCTGCAAAAGAGACACCAAAATGTATCCAAAAAATCTCTAACCTTGTTCCGAGTGTCCTAAAATGTGGCCTCTTTATAGAGGCTGCCCCCTCCCCCAAGCAGTAGTTTACAAGATTAAGGGAAAACCAATTATCGGCAATTCAAATGTCATTTTTTCCTTTAGAAATGTCAGTGTTGCTGCAGCAGGTTCTATACATCGTACAGATCTGCCACTTGGCAGGCAGTTTACGGGGAACCCCCCATGCACGATATTTAAAGGAATTTTTCATTTTTATTGTTTCACTCTAAGTGATATTAAAATCACTGCTCCTTTAAAAACTGTATTTTTAAAAAGTGTTTTCTTGCATCTATTCCTGTCCCCCAGGGCAGTACCCGGATCCCCATACACCTTTTATAGCCAATAACTTGCATATAAGCCTTCAAAATGGGGACATTTCATTTTCCGTGTTGTGGTCCCATAGACTTTCATTGAGTTCTAAGTTTGAATTAGAACTTTTTCATTGTTCGAAAGTTCTAGTTAGAACCGAACTCAGGTGTGTTCAGCCCATCCAGGGCCGTCTTTAACGCAGGGCAAAAGGGGCAGTCGCCCAGGGTCCAATCATTGTTGTGGGGCCCAAAGCAGCTGCCCCTTCAGCCCACATAAGATAAACACATGCAGGGCTGGCAGCCTCACCTGTGTAGGCAATGGGGCTTGCACCAGCCCTGCCCCCTGTCGGTGTACACAGCATCGGTGCTCTACAGACAGGAGGCTACATACAGCAGCATAGATGTGGCTCTGGGCTGCGCCCACTATCAACTCGGCCCCGCCTCCCGCTCTCCTGTGTTGTCTGTGGCCCTGCTGGGAGCCCACACCGTGCCCTGAGATGTCACCCCCACTGTGTCCCCTCCTGCCTCCCCTCTCTGGACCTTCACACCAAGTAAGTGCCCAAATATGCCACAGTTTATGTATGCAACAGATACATATACTGTGTGCAACACATACATATGCAGAGCAGTTTCCTGACTTGCTTCTCTAGTTCAATCTATGCTGCTGAAGCAGGATTTAGAGTTTTTAAAGAAAATATCATTATCAAGTTCTATGTATGGCTGCAGCAAAGCTTTCTGTACTCTCAATACTAGGGATGCACCTATAGATAATATTACAAACAGGATCTGTGCTATGGAACAACAAACCCCTAAGCTGCCATGCTAAAAAACTGTATATAACACCTAAAAAACTTGAATTATAAACATGCCCTGCGCAATAGAGATCAACTACATGTGCAATCTAATGATAATCTACATGTGAAGTAAATACATATTAGGTATTTTATCACTATATATTGTATTTATTCACCATAGGGTGATTCTGCATACTTATATATTTATTTCACATGTAGATTATTATTAGATTGCATGTGTAGTTGGTCTATAAAATGCATTGCACATTTATAATTCACTAGGGATGCTATTGCACCGATACCGATACCTGCACAGCCCGTCTGAGACCCCGTACACAGCCTTCCTGAGATCCCGTATAGTCCTCCTGAGACTCCGCACAGCTTCCCACCAGGATATTGAATATCCTGTCTCTCTCCTGGCTGTCTCTCATTGCTCTTTCTCCTGGCTGTCTCTCACTCTATCCCCTGGCTGTCGCTCCTGCCTCTATCTCGTCTCGGTCTCTCCTCTTTCTCTCCTGTCTGTCTCTCCTTGCTCTCTCTCCTAACTGTCTCTCTTTGCTCTCTCCTTTAGCTCTCTCTCCTGGCTGCCTCTCCTCTTCTTCTCTCTCTCCCAGCTGTCTTTCCTCAATCTTTCTCCTGGCTGTCTCTCTTTGCTCTCTCCCCTGGCTGTCTCTTCTCGCTCTCTCTCCTGGCTGTATCTTCTCACTCTATTCTGGCTGTCTCTCCCTGCTCTCCTCCCTGATGTCTCTTCTCTCTCAATCCTTGCTGTCTCTTTTCTCTCTCTCCCCTGGCTGTCTCTCCTCAGTCTCTCTCCTAGCTGTCTCTCCTCTCTCTCTATTCTGGCTGTCTCTCTCCTGGCTGTCTCGCCTCATTCTCTTCTCTCTCCCCTTGCTGTCTCTCCCCGCACTCTCCCCTGGCTGTCTCTCCTCGTTCTCTCTTGTTTATTCTAAAAAAAGTTGCAGTGTGGTGTTAGACTGTTCAGGATTCGCTTGAAGAAAAGGCAGCAACCCTTGCAGCACCATTCCGTTTACTATGCGTTCAGCATCACATAGTGTTGCCCCCACCTCTTCCGTCTGCTGCTAGGGCCGGGGGGGGGCCCAATAAATTGTTTGCCCAGGGTCCAATCAGTATTAAAGACGGCCCTGAGCCCATCACTACTGCCAAAACAGTACAGACAGGGTTAATAATGCTAAACATAACTCCCCAGCCCCCTCCTTCACTTTACATAGCAGGGGTAAGCCAGGTATGATTGGTAAGCAAGTAAAAAGGTAAGCAGCACATTCTTTTATTATATTAAGTTCTGCTATGTGAATGGGAACAAATATAAGATAGGTGTTTCCCAATTTGGCTACAAAAGTGGAAATACACTTTAAGAATCTGAAAAGATACATGAGAAGACAATATGTCAACTATTCTACACTGCAGACACCACTGCACCCTCACCTCTTAGTTCTGCTGTTAGATGTCTACATGTTCTGATGTGACAAAGGCAATATATTCAAAATAAATTGTATTTGTATATTTTGGCCCTTAGTCTTCTGTCCTAATCAATGGCCTAATTGGCTAATGATAAGTGTGACCCCGATCCTAATCATACTGCAAATGTTTTTCTTGACATCGATGGCAGGAGTCTCTACGGAGTTCCCTTATTATTGCAGTAAAGCCGGTAAGTGCGTGAACAGAACACCGTGTGTACGGTTTCATTTTTACAGCTCATTCTTCATGCAACCATTTGCAGGTATCAGTCACAGTGACCACATTTCCTTGGTGGGACGGTTTAAAATGAGTCGGTGTCACTTCACTGATATCTCCCCCTCCTACTCTCTGAGGTTCTGCTTTGTGTACCAACAAAACAGAAGAGTAAAATTGCTATATAAAAAAAATACACCTGGGGATGGTAATTTTATAATACCAGAAAAAAATGCACTCTGTTTCCCAGTTTGACTGGATGCGCGCTTCCTGGCAAGTTTGGCTCCTGGAAAGTTTGGCTGGATGATCACTTCTTGGCAAGTTTAGATGGATGAATACTCCTTGGAAAGTTTGTCTGGATAAGCACTTCCTGGAAAGATTGGATGGATGAACACTTCCTGGCAATTTTGGCTGAATGAGCACTTCCTGACACATTTGGCTGGGAGAGCACTTCCCGGAAAGTTCGGTTGGATAAGCACTTCCTGGCAAGTTTGGCTGGGTGAGGACTTCCTGGAAAGTTCGGTTGGATAAGCATTTCCTGGCAGATTTGGCTGGATGAGCACTTCCTGATGGCCTCCTAGTATCTTTTGGGGCAGCAACAGTATGGCATGCTACTGACCTGGTTGTCCTGCTGGAC